ATTCGGCGTCCATAAGGCCAGCGGAAGGTCTAGAATTTTTATTCAAAAGGGAATGAAAGTTGATTCATCACATTTTGGCTTGAATTTGGGAGAGCACTTTTGTGGGATGAATGGTTTCCCTAGCAAGAACCATGGTCCACCTGACCAAACCATCTCATAATCTTCGTGTGATGAGAATTTCAATAGAAAAAAAAACATCTACAATGGAAAGGAGAGAAAGCAAACCTTTTAGGGTCCAATCCCTATTCATAGTGGCTAGAAGGCGTTCGTTGTAAGGACGCTGCCCAATCAAGTATCCCACAAGGGATAAAGTCCATAGAGAATTACCCTCTATTAAATCTTCAGCCGAGAAAGAGAGCTTCTGGCTTGGAGAAATAAAAGACACATGAAAGTCTTCGAGAATCATAATAGGAGTCGATACATTATTGGCATAAGAGGTAGCTGGGAGAGATGGGAGTTGACCTATAAGGGAAGAGGTAGGAAGAGAGGAGAACTCAATTGGATTTAGGGCCATCATGAGAGGGAGAAAACCCTCCCTGACGGGAAGAGCTCAGCTAGGCTCAATGACGGGAAGATGGAAAAGGTTGCCTTGGAAAAATAGCACCGAAGTTAAAATTGGAGAAGTTAGAATGGAGTTGGACACTTTTGTACTGTGGTGAAAGTGATGAACAAAGTCTAAAATATTTCAAATGTAGTGTAAAGTAATCTAGTTCGGTTTTTAAGAAAAGTAAATTGACCTAATGGCACAAATGAAACAACTAAATAATTGCCACCACTTCTCAAGCTACTTATCGCTACCCGTTGTTGGATGCTGGCCACCCGCCACCCTCCTCCGCCAGGACCACTGCCACTCATCATCGCCAACTACCATCAGCCTCTATCATCATCCGCCTTCGTCGTCTTCAGTATTCCATTGCCTATGGCAACAACTGCCGCCACTGCTGCCGCCCACTACTATCATTGTCGGCCACTGACCACAACCATTTATGTACTTTACACTACATTTATTTTACTTCAAGCCAAATAAATAATAATAAAAATGATCTTATGCATTACTTTAACTATTATGATAATTTTTTTAATATTTTTTTTTGTGGGTGCATAATAAGTTTTTTGTATATTTTGTTTCTAAATTATCAAAATTTATTGATTTTAATATTAAAAATTTAAAAATATTCAAATGACTAGACTATTTTTTCAATCTGAATTAAATAGAAAAAAAAATATTTTTTTTTTCAATTTGATTCAGTTTTGAATAAACAAAAATGGAGTTAATTTAACAATAAATATAAATACCATCAGTTTAAATACCTAAATAAACTTTGATCAACTTTATAATTTTATGATGTGGAATAAATATTATTCATATTTGATCTTAATGCACCTAATTTATTATTATTATTTATTTATAATTCATGAATTTTATTGATTTAATTTTTAAAAATTAGACAATTTTTATTTTTTTTATTGTACCAACTAAACATTTTGCAAGGGATGAGTTCCAGAAGAATTAAAATTTGGAATTTATGAAAGTTAGAAACCTGAAAAAAATAATTAAAAACTCAAAAATATTAAAATAGAAAAGAATTGAAAAAGAACAAAATAAAAAAACTAAGATTAAAATTATAAACTCAAGTAATATGAAAACATTAATTTTAGCCTAAAAAAATTTCTATAAATTTAATGCTTGTGGACAAGCTCAATAAGAAGATCGATGCAAGGCTCGTTAAAAAAATCGAATAAAACATTATTTTGTATATTTTCACATAATTTTTAATTTTATTATTGTTGCGTCCTAGAATATTTGCGGCAGTAGAGAAGTATAAAGTTTAACATCTTAGCTTTGTACGAAGATCCAACACACAATCAGATAAAAGGGATGGTGTTGCATTCTTAAGAGACACCTGAGTTTTTTTTACGTGGAAACCACAGGGTCTAACCCAGTTTGAATAAATCCACTAGTGTTTGCAATCAATTGCAAATGAGGCCCATCCTTGAGGGGAAGGCCGGTTTGATGTAGCAAATATACATCATATATAGCACATTACATGGTGAAATTTGAAAGAATCGTTATTGATAGGTTCGTTTGGTCGGAAGGACCATAGTCGACAGGCGATAGTGGTCAAAAATACTGAATTAGAATGTCGGCGACTGGAAGGATCGTAGTCGGGCGACGGAGGTCGGAAGGCCCGTAATCGATGAAGGAGGTCGGAAGGATCATAGTTGTCGGGCGACAGAGGTCAAAGGACCTTTGTTGTTGAGCGACATAGGTCGGAAAGATCGTTTCTGTTGACAGAGTTCGGATGGCCAGTAATCGACGAAGGAGGTCAAAAGGACTGTAGTCGGCTGGTGATGGTGGTTGGAAGTCTTGCGATGGGCGGAAGTCCGGAGTCTAGTAGAAGTTCAATGATGGACTGAAGTCCAGCATCAGATAAAATTCCGACGGAAGTCCGGTGACAGACATAAATCCGGTGACGGGCAGAAGTCTGACATCGGGAAGAAAACCGACGACGAGCGAAAGTCTGCATCAGGTAGAAGTCAGACAAAAGTTCTGTGACTGGCAAAAGTACAGCGATGGGCGAAAGTTCGACGTTGGGTAGAAGTTCGACGAAAGTCCAGCGACTGATAAAAGTCTGACGATGTGCAAAAGTTTGGCTTCGGGTAGAAGTCATGGTGTGTTTATTGGGCATTTGAATGTCTTAATGATATCAGAATTTGGCAATCTTAGACTCGTTAGTTTTGTCTCGTCGAGTCACTCGATTTGACTATAAGCTGTCATGTTTGCATTCTATTTGGTAATCCAAATTATGTATTGAGCCTTCCAAATGTTATGGTCTTTGATTTGAACTCATTTGAGTTCGATTGAGTCGAACTTGGTGTCGTTGGGTTCGTATTTTCGAGATGTTCAATTTGACTATAAATAATTTGAAATCAGAGTTCAGATGGTCTCCGATTTAATTTTTGAAGTTTCAAACTTGATTTTGCTCAAGATTCGTGTCTGATCATGATAATTGTTTGATGATATATCAATTATAATAAATCATTCCACTTTTATAAAATATTAACTTTATTATTTTATATTATAGCCTTTTAATAGGATAAATTTATTCATGAACAATATGTATTTGTTCATGTTTATTTGATTGTTTAAGTGTTTATAAACAAGTTTGCTTATTAGATGAATCATTTTCTATGCTCATTTATTCATGAACGGGCTCATTTGATAACTAAAAAAAACTAATTATATATGTTCGTGAATTGGCTCATTAGTTAGGCCAAAATTTCTAGCTAGATATATTTTCGAACATTCTTTAGATAATGAATCAAGGCGAGCTACTGCATCCCCAACATGATTCAAGTTTCCTTTAGGACCCCTTTCTTCCTGATTTTTAAATTAGCTTTTTAGTAAACAAAAAAAAAATTTAAAACTTTTAAACTTTAAAAAATAATAAAGAAGCCATCACATTCAAAGCCTTACGAAGCCTCAATTACAAAATGACACCCACCGGTGCTTGTCCGAGTGGTGAAGAGCTGGCTGGGCAAAACCCAGATCCTTGGTTCAAATTCTTTGGTAAGCAGTGAAAGCCTTAAGTGTTGGCCCATATAAATTACATGGGTTGCATCATTGCATGTTAGGTTGACCGAAATTTTCACTGGCACTAAGAACAGTGCTTCCTAGTAAAAAATAATTAAATAAATCATGTAACAAAATCTAGCTGCACTTCTTCAGCAAGTTCCCATAGGCATCATTACTTCTTTGGAATTCCGCTTCCGAGAAATTGGGCTAGAAAATATTAGGATTTTTTCTTAGGCCGAAGTTTGTAATTAGTGACAAATTAAATAATCTAAATTAAATATAAAATAAATTTCATATATATTGATGCATCATCATGAAATTATCTTGATCGAGCACGAATCTCGGCGCAAAAATCAAGCCGGAAACTTCAAAAATTAAATCTGGGAGCACCTGAACTCCGATTTCAGCGAGCTTACACTCAAACTGAGCGTCTCGGAAATACGAACCCAACGACACCAAATTCAACCCAATCTGAGCCCAAATAAGCCCAAATCAAGCACCCGAAGAGCTGTTAGAAAGTTCGTACCACAATTTGAGTTACCAAACGGTCTCCGACTTTGACGAGCTTATAGTCGAATCGAGCGGCTCGACGAGACGAATTCAATGAGCCCAAGATCGCTGAATTCTGACATCACTGAGGCCTTCAAATGTCCAACAAATGGTGCACGATCGAAGGATTCAATATCAGCCGTCCATTCGACCACTCCTTATTTTCCCCTGATCTCACGTCTATTTACGAGCTATGCCGCTCCAGAAAAACTGTAAATAGAGCCCTCATTCTTCACAAGAGGGGATGGAAGCAAGAAGAAAAAGAAGTGAAGAAGAAGATAAGGGGAAGGAGAATCAGCCCTTCCTGACCACCGCCGGAGTTCTTCCCGCCACCCGAACACGCCGGGATTCTGTCGGATATTCGGGAGAACGCCGGAATTATTCCCTACTTCCACGGGACACCAGAATTCTGTCCAAGTTTCACGGATTTTAAAATTCTTCCCAATTAATGACAGAGTTCCCTCCTGACGCCGAAACTCAGCTCAAATGATGCTGGAGTTCTCCTCAGCAACCAACACACGTCGAACTTCTACTCGACGTCGAATCTTCACTCTTAGCCAAGTTTCTACCCGATGCCGGACTTCCACCGGTTATCAGACTTTCGCTGGACGTATATCCGAAGATGAATTTCTTTACATTGTTGGACTTCTACCTGACGTCATCCTTCTGACCTTCATCGTCAGACACGGTCCTTTCAGCCTCCGTCGCAAGACAACGATCCTCCCGATCTCCATCGCCCACCGACTACAGTCCTTCCGACCTCCGTCG